CAGTTTTTGTAAATCTGGACAAATTTAAATGGGATTTCTGTAACTGACCCCAGTGCCTAAGTCAAAACTAAAATATCTGGTCTACTTATATAGATCTAAAGGAAAGCACCTTCCTCTCAGTAGTAGTCAGGGCTCATTAACTATCACAACAGTATTTTACCTCATTTTGACTTGAAATGTGACCCTCCTAGAAACAAACAGCTTTGTTGCAGTAGTAGGCTATGTTGACTCATTAGTAAGACTGCATAAAACTGCCCAGCATAATGTGTGAGATGTTTGTCCTAGCAAGCAAAAGAATTCTGCATTAAAATCAGTTGAGTTGCACATCTATTTCTGGGGAACAGGCTGTTTGTTTGCTTTTTTTTAATTTTTAATTTTTGCAGATTGTTACACCAGATGGCCTGTTCAGCCAACAATAGATCATCATGTCTCACCACAATGGGATCTCTTTCTGGCTAGCTTGAGTCAGAGCAGTTAGATATCAGTCCTCACCAAGCACATTCCTAACAACTTCACCTTAATTATTTCTTTCCTTCTGGTCCATGGTAATATAAACCATTTCCTGCCTCCTTGCATAGCATCAGAAATGCACATAAACAAGCAATCTAGTGCTGAAACAATTATTTTGAACACATTAAATTCCAGTTCTGGATGGTAGCAGTTCCCTCACTTCCATGAGTAACTCAATACTCATACTAATTACGGTAAAGAGTTTGATAATTCACTGTTTCTATTTTTAAATTATACTCTTTGATTTTTATTCCCACAGAGGTCTCAGTCTGCATTCTCCCTGGCTAGTGAAGATATGCCCAGTAAAGGACTAGACCTTGCATCATCTGTGACTGAGGCTCTTTGGAGGCAGCAAAAAGGACAATTCAGGAAACAGAAGGATCGCAAGCTCTCTGCATTACCCAGCTGGAAAAGTGTGGACAGGCTAAATGAAACAAGTAAATATTTCTAGTACGAATAGGATTCTTTTTTTTGGTACTCACATGTGGAATAAGTACAACTTAAAGCAAGGACCTTCTCCAGGAAATTTCTGCTGATCTCTGTGCTTGCAGGGGTCACATGTAAAGGTGTCTGTTTGGTGATGCTGAGTATCAATAATTTCATTGCTTATCTTACCATTGTATTTTTTCTAAGAAAAGCTTCAAAATTTAGGCCTTTGGGGAGTTGATTTTGGACTGTTAGGAAACGTTAGGCATTTAATTTGGATAAATTTCAGAGCTTTTAAGACATAAGAACCCAAAGGCCCTGCTTTGTCACCTGGTTATCTGTCCTGCAGTTGATGGAGTTTGCAGCTGCTCACAGATTCCCTTCTGTTGCACAAGTTGACTGTTCATGAGGTTACGTGGTGAACCAAACAGTGAAATAATTCATGGTTAGGATTCCCCCTTGCACCTTTATTTTCAGTCCCAATGAATTCACCAATGTGGTGTTCTGTGCAGCCCTAACTGCTGCTTCCACACAAGTTGGAGGAAGCTGTAGGAGTATGAACTACACAGACCAGCAGCAGATCTATGTCATCTGTCTTGCCATGCATTAGGTATGGATGTGAATATGGATAATGAATAGCTTCCTAAGTCAGCCCCATTCCCGAACCAGCACACTGGGACAGAATGCAATTCCCTGCTTACTTCAAGATGATATAAGTCCAGGCTATCACTGAAGAAGGTGGTTCCTGCTCTTGAGGGGGTCCCATTTCCACTGCCTCTCTTGTTCTGACTGTTGTTTTCATGAGGCCACAAGAGTGTAGCACCAGAAAACTGCTGCACAGAAGAGTTGGTTAGTTTTCATCCCCACAGCTGCACAAGGGCAAGAGCTGAACTGCTCACTGCAGCCACAGTCCCTGGCTCCAGGTGACAGGGAACAGCAAACCTAACTTCTCCGCAACTGTTGTCCTCCCATGACAGAGTCTGCTTGTTCCTGCTTCTTCTCTTTTAACGGCTGTAGAGCCTGTCTGACCTTTGTAGCAAAGTGGTTCATGAAACTAAACAAGCAGAAAACTTCTTGTGTGTAGGGTGGTTTTACTGGTGCTGTAACTCCCAGAGCTGGCTCACTAGGTGCTGGCAAGCAGAAGCAGCCAAAATATGCATTTGGGTGTGGTGGGGACCAGGGATGGGAGCTGCCCATTGGTTTGATTCATTTATCTGTAGTGCCAGTTGATAACCTGGGAGACTGAAAATTAGACAGTGTCAATACCCCTCCTCCCCCCAAAAAGAAAGTGATAGTAAAGTAGTACTAAACTCTGACTTAACTAAGTATGCATTACTTTGTGAACTGCTCATTCAAGCCCCTGTCAGAAGCGTTGTTCTCCTGGGCATTTTAGTGGAAGGCCTATTTTCAGTAAAGCAGTTAATTGGGTGCTTAAATTTAAGAACCCACTTCAATCCCATTGAATTCAACTGTTGAGCAATTTAGTACTTAACAATTGCTTAACCATAGCAGAATGACAAATTGACCCAGTTTCCTTTCAGGTGCTCTACTCAGAGGATTCGTTCTTCTTTCATCTAAGAACCACATTTGTGATGAAATTGTGGTGCCTATTGATCTTGTAGTAAATACCTGATTGTGTTAATTTGGGCAAATATGATCTCCTCTATGCAGTAGTAAGCAGCTCTGTATTAGGATACAGGAAACCAAAGAAATCTCAACCAGGAGTTTGGAGTGGTAGTGTCAGTGGGCTTTTTAGTCATGTAGCCAAAAAGCAGTTCACAAATCATTTTGATTACAGTTTGCAGTGGTTTCAATGATGACTTAAGAGCAAAATCATGAATTACTGCATTTTTCACCTTTACCAATAGGTTCACAATGAGACTTCTTAGATCTATTTTCACATGGATAATTTATAGCGTATACCTAAAGAATTGTGTGCAAAATCCATTATTTCAAGTGACTTTGTTTTGGAAAATCAAGAAGGGAGCATTTGACATGACATGAAACTGGGATAAAACTGAGTCAGCTTTCTAAATATAAAGCTCTCAGTAGCTTTCCTTTCCATCCTGCTTACCCTCTAAGATGTAATCAACTACTATCCTGTCCTTTCTTCAATCAACTGAGGATGTTTGACCAATTCTTATGTGTTGTTACTAAACAAAATAAGGGGATATGGTTCGGGAGAAAAAAAATGTAATGATGTGGCACTTCACTGCATTACGTTTATGTAATGTGGTGCAGCTGAATTCAGTTCCTCTTGGAGATTTCTCTCTCGCAGAGCTGTTTGCTGTGTTTGAAGGAACAATGTTTTCAAGGAAAGGTCTTCTTTCTCTCAAGGGAATCCTACACTTACATTAGTGAGCATAGTTGGAAAGGGTGAACAAGCAGAAGCTCCTTACATTTGATAGCTTGTATTCTTTTTTTCTCCAAAACTGGCTGTTACAATAAAGTTCTCCCTATAAACCTAACTTCAGTTATATCCTCAGCTGATCACTGCTACAAGAAAACTGTTACTATTTTAATTTCTTTTTAATCAGGAGTAAGAATAGCTTTGGTGATGTATTTTCTCAAGTTTTCCAAATTGTCATGAAATTTAGGAAGTGAAAACAAGCCAAAAGGACTCAAATGAGTAACAAATACAAAACCTCTTCTCAATCTTGCATAGCTCCTAAGTTTAATTACCATTTAATTATTGTTTCTTTTTTGTGGGGTTGTTTTGTTGGTAGTGCACCACAGACATTTTTTTTTTTTAAACTGAGCACACCTTCTTACTGCATGCTTATGTTCTTTATGAACAATTTTAGGGGAAAAGTCATCTTCCTGAGCTCCAAGTATTTGTAATCATGTAATACAAGATGCTTGAGTATCATCTACCACACTATCCAGATTTTACTTGCTCCATTTTTCGTGATGTTCTGTTTACAGTTCCAGAAAACTAATAGTTTACAATAAGTATTTCTACAGTTTTCTGGGAATGGCAGATTTGAACCCATGGAAGGAATCTGTAAGGCTGAAAAGTTCATTCAGTGGGCTGAGATTACTGTGTAAATCTATGGCATTATATATTTATTCAACTGCTGTGGGAGGTAAAGTCATCACACATTCACATTTCCCATGAAGGGACTTTTCAAGTTTGATTGGAAATGGAATTAAATTTAGAAGAAATTAAATTCTGTGAGTTACACAGCAAATTTGACCATATTTCTGGCATTTATTTATTTCTTTGTTGGAGTTGTGAGACATACTCTGAAAAAGTGTAAGAATACAAGAGCAGCAGTGCTTGGGTCAGACAAAAAGCTCATTTGGCCAAGGTACAACAGCAGCAGCAACAGTAACCATAAGCACGAGCCTAGGAAAGATTAGGACAAAGCAAGTATTTTTCATGCTGCCTCTGGGTAGGCTCTGAACCTCCAGAACTTTCAGCTTAATGACAACTTCAGCTAGAAGTGTTTTTCTGAATTCAGTAAACCTCAGTAGATTTCTCTTCAGTGTTCATAGCCATCTCTGTTTTATCCCAGAATAATTTCTACCATCCATAACACCGTTAGGCGAGAAGGTCCACAGGTCTGGTACCCATCACATCCCACTACTTTCATTTGTTTTGAACCTTGATTTCACTAGTTTCACTCAATGTCCTCTAGTAGTTAGGTTGGAATAGATTTTCCCATCTCTTTTAGCATGTGTCCTCTCAGTCTTCTGTCCTCCAGACGGCAGAGCTCTGGCTTATTTAATCATTCCTTGAATGGAAGCCGTCTCTGAACCTGGTGCAACCTTTGTTGCTCTTCTCTGATCCTGTTTCCATCTTTCAAGATGGGGTCTAGAACTGCACATAGAATCAAAGACATTTGCAAAGCGCAGAATTTATACATGTCTGTGTACTGATGTTCCCTCAGCCTTTCCTAATGATTATTTTAGAAAAAAAGCTTTGGTCCAAGTATTCTCACATTTTAAACAGTCATCACCATGACTTTAGCAACATGTCTCGCAACATGAGAGAATTCATGTAGCAGCAGCACTTGCATTTGTTCATTAGTTTTGTTGAACCCTCCAATTTGTGGCCAGTTGATTGCAAACTGGCAAGTGAAATGAGCCTTTCACACTGTGATCACATAGCCATAATTGTTCTTGTTTCGTTTTCATAGATCCACCTTCTGTTTTGCAAAGCACTGATGGAAACTGGGTAGCTTTGCAGAATGTCACCTTGCCTCGTCCTCGAATGCTCGCCAAACCAAAGAGTCAAGTATTTGAAGCTTTGGAGAATGAATCCAGTGTTGTGTCTGCCTATGATGAGATGGGCTCAGACAGTGAGGATGACTATGACTGGAATGGGGCCTTGAACAAGCTGCATCGGAGACCTCAGCAATTACCAGATGATCTGTATTATACCAATTCCCAGTATGGTACTGAATGGGTTTATGGCAATAATCAGTGCCAGGCAGTGACCTCCCCTTCCTCTGGGTTATACACCAATACTGAGACACTGTTGTCTGATTCTGAAACATCTTCAGTAAACTCTTTCCAGGAAGCTAAAGGACCTAACAAACTTCGCTGGTCACGAAGCAGAACTCGAAGTGATATGCCCAGAATGGAAAAAAAACATTTCCACGGAGAACTAGATGTAAATTTCAATCCACAGCCAACCAGCGTGGAGTATTCGGACAGCAGTGAGACAGAAGAAGTCCATTATAATTCAGAAAAGAGATCAAGAAGGTGGAGGAAGAACAAAGCAGTTTCTGAAGAATTACGTGAAGGAAAAAATCGCACAAAAACCAACAAGATGAATTTAAGTCAGGTAATTGTGTTTGAGCTTACTGAATGCAGTCTCAAAAAGCGCTGGGCAAAACTAGTTAAGCTGTCCCAACAATAACATGTGCATCATGAGTGGGAGGTGAGGTGTTCTTCCAAGTTTTATCCTCCTCATGAATGAGAAGAAGCAAAAGTAAAGTGTTACATATACAATGAACAGTGAACAGGCTTGGCCTCTTTCTCAAATATGCCACTTCCATCTGAGCAATGACATCATTAATGCTATAAAATACAGTGCTCTTAAAAAAACAACAACAACAAAAAGGTCAGGATTTGCCAACAGCTAAGAAATGTTGACTAATCATTTGTTCTGGTCCATTGGGTTTTGGTTTTTTTTTTTTAATTCTTTTGTTCTTGGAATAAGAAATAACTCTTATGCCTGGGAATCTTCTGTGTGCTGTTTGCAAATGTCCTGATAAGTGATAAAGCTTATGTGCAGGAGAAATTCAGAAATTCAGTTTTGAAAAATGTTCCAAGTGATGTCTGCTTTTAATCAGTCACTTGATTATGAGTTCTGGTCCATTAGGGTAAAAGTTTACAAACTACTTAACTTTTTTAGCAGTACAAGTACACTTCTAACTAATTACCCAGTTGGATGAGGAGAATACAGAGCATTCCATTTCCCATATCCTACCCATCTCAAATCCTGTAGCTGCATCACTGCTGCAGAAGAGTAATGGCAGGGAAGCAAGGAGCTAAGTGCTGTCTTCTCCCTACGCCTCTGACTGTAAGCAACCAGGTCCAGTCTTTAAAGTAATCTGAGCAATTTTAGAATGCCTGGAATTGTTTTCCTTTGCTTATGCTACGATCCTATGTTTCCCATAGAAAGACATCAGATTAGAAGTAAGTCAAGATTAGGATTCCAGGATTTGAGCAGGTTTTAAATGCTGGGGAAACTGTTGTGAATTCTGTATCGATTCCATCTGCTTTTAGGAGATGGTGTGGGTGTTTTGCACTGATTCATTTATACTCATGTCCTCACATGTTTATCATGTACAGTTCTTGAAGGGGAGTTACATATTATAATGTGCTCTAGCAACACATCAGTGGCCATTAATGACTTCTCAGAACATCAGGTAGAATCACAGGACTTCCCAGGGAGTGCCCAAAGACTGTATTTTGTACATAGACTTCTGTATTTCCCTTTCAGTCTTTGCATATTTGTGGATCTTCTGTGTGTCAATGTGTGTCTAGAGCAGAGCCCACAGAGAAGATGTCCTGGAGATGTTCCTCCAGCGCAGAACAGAAAGGCAGGGTGCTTCCAGACGTACGTGATGGCATCCTTCAGCAGCTTAGTGTGTGCTTCAAAGTGCAAGCTGGTGCAGAAACTGGTTGTTTCTTCCAACTCTTTTGTGAAGTGCTTTGCAACTTAAGTGCTGCTTATACCTCTCCGTAGTGTTTAAAAATGTGTAGTTTGGGATTCTGACCCGTTCTCCCCTTCACTTTACCCCTGAGGCTAAAAGACTATTC